TGGTTGAGCGCCGGATTGTTGTGCGGGAGGTCGAGGGTTCAAGCCCCGGCCGGACCAACACTCAAGGTCTTAAAATAACTGAGGAGAATGTACTACCTTTCTATAACATCAAGAAATGGATAGACATTTTAGTCTTCTCGGTCAAGGACGAACAAACCGTAGGTCCCGTCTCCTGCATCTATTAATTAGTTAATTTGGTTAGGAGACATTAAAGAACCCACTCACGAGATTACTGTGATGTGGTCTGGCCTGCTTACTAGGAATTGGGGAGGAGAAGGCATCTGTTAGATTCGTCTTTAATTGATTGTAAACTGCTTAGCAGTCTGGTAAAGTCCCCTGTTCAGTGTTATTAAGCGCCACGAGCTCAGTATATGAGCGCTGTATAAATAAAAGTTATTAAAGTTATTAGAATGAGATTGATACACTTCAACAGTAACCACTCCCTGGGGGAAACAACCTATCTTCCAGAAACCGCGTTGTCGACCTCTCTTAGAGGAAGTACACGGATTGCGCTGTATTGGGACGAAATTGTCCCGTAAATTTTCTTTATTTTGCTAAGATAATGTATAAATAAATTCGAAATTTTAAAGATGTTGTTTGAAAAAGGCGGGTTTCTGTATGTTGATCATTATACGAATTTCTACCTAAAACTGGACAATTTCCCGGCTAAGGTTTTTCTTTTTTGTGCAATTGTCACATTGGAACGTATTCGTTCATGTGTGACCCATGATCGATACTGAGCCGGCAGATTGTTATTTACAGTTGCGTTGCCAAGTAACGCACCCTCTTGCGCAGCCCATCGACCACGTGTTCAACGTTAAGGAGTTTGAAGATCGGCCATGATATCCAAAAGTGAAAACAGGAGCAAAATGAGATGAAAACATTGCGGACGATTGATGAAAACGATGATTGTTCCCTCGGGAACTGATTCTAATGATAAAGCTGATGAAATCAGTTACGGAATTATTGTTATTTTAACCTCAAAAACCCAGATTTTCTCATCAGTAAGCCCCTTTATGTTCAGCAATTTTATAAGATATGAACAAGTGAGGGAAACCAAGGTTTACAGTGTATTGTTTTGTGGGACTGAGATTTTTTTCACGTAATATTGAATTTTGAATTGTGAACGCTACACAACGAGAACTCATAAGTTTTAAACAAATATGCGTTCAAAGAAAAGGAAAACTCTCGGCCATAAATGTAACAGTTTTGCTTCAGATATTTGGCAACGGAATGTTATAAAATAGAAAAAATGATTTCTAAGCAGTTTTCCTTGGCAAACCATTGAAAATGTAATAAGGTCATAGAAGAAATAAATCTTTGATGTCTTCTTGGTATTGACGTAACACTGTTTTGAAAGATATAATCACAGACATTTTCTTCTGTTGAAGAGACCTACGTCCAATTATCTCCTATGATTTTTAGAGATCTAATATATCGTTATCGGATGAATATGAATGCCCTTTCGCTCCCAGATAATGACATGAGTCCAAAAGTTGCGTTTTCATGAATGATTAAGCGAACGATAAGAAAGCGAAAAATACAGTTTTTGCGATGTTGGCGCTGTGGAAGAATAACAATTTGTTATGAATAAATAATTACTAAACTTCAACATTCTACAAAAGCGATGAATTCTTCAAATCCGGCTCTAGACGAATCGACAGACACAAAGAATTTCTATCAGGGGAATATTTCTCGACTGATTTCGACAAAGCAATGTTTGTAAGTAATTTTTGTGTGGGTGATCAGGTATTAGATAAATTCTATATCGCAGGGCTTCGGTTAGCTCCGATTTAGAGAGACAAATATTGCCTTTGCTATGGTCTACGTTACACCACAACAGGTTGGGATTAAACAATATATTTTCAATGTGTTAGTGTAATATGTATTTCACTTCGCCTTTTCTTACTTTAAGTTTCAAGTCTCATGGGGATAAAACCAGTGGAGAGGGTCGGTCGTTTGGCTTCCATAAGAACCCTGGGACTCCAAAATCGCAAAGAAAGGACAGCAAAACAACTGAAATTACCGCAGATAGCTCAGGTGTGTCGTGCTGCGAGAAAGCCAGGGCCGAGATGAAATACAACGTCGGTGAGTAGCAATAAATCTGACTGTTTAAATGCGAACTGAAAACTTTCCTTATTCTGTCTCGAATTTTTTTTTTACGTAAGAATTAAAAAAATCAACAACCCTAGCTTTACGTAGGAAATGTCGAAATTGAATATTTTGTAACTCAATTTCGCACAATTCAATAATAAGCAAATATTATCTTGTCCTGAATTCTGGAACCTTCTCTTTTTGATTTTCGACAATTATGCTGTTTCGTTTTACCTTCTCTGTTTGGATAATCTTCAAGAACCATGCTGTCTCAATTTACAAAATATAGTTCACATTTCATATAAAACCTATTTTCTAGCTTGATGTCTCGAAGTCAGTGGAACTCTCTGCGTTGAGAACGATTGTTTGAAACAAGTTCCCTTGTCCTAAGCGCGTTACAAAATTT